TTTTCTTTTATTCCCAGCTTTAGCAAACTTCAAATATGATTTTCAGACCTTTGTTGTTTTAATTCTTGCTCTCTTTCATTTCCATATAAAATCATACTAAGTGCTGAATGAATTTAGGGAATTAAGGGTTTAAGTGCTTTCTGGACTTAGTGGTGGGAAGAGAGTGAACAGTGCAGTGTATTAGGTTTACTTGTTTTGCATGTTTAATTCCATTCACTTAGACGCAGGTGTCTTGCCTTCCACTCCCAACCTTTGTCTCTATCTCCTATTAACTCTCTTAACAGCAAACTTCCAGATAGAATTTCAAATGCAACTCACCTGATTATTTTCCTTTCTTTGCAATTTAAAACAAAAAGGAAAGCCGAAACCGGTTTGACTCAGTGGTAGAGCGTCGGTCTGCGGACTGAAAGGTCGCAGGTTCGATTCCGGTCAAGGGCATGTACCTTGCTTGCGGGCACATCCCCCGTAGCGGGTGTGCTTAGGCAGCTGATTGATGTTTATCTCTCATCGATGTTTCTAACTCTCTAGCCCTCTCTCTTCCTCTCTGTAAAAAATCAATAAAATATATTTTTTTAAAAATAAAATAAAAAATAAAACAAAAAGGAAAGAATAAAGTGAAAGGGAAAAACTGGTTGGATGCAGTTTAAAGAATAAAGTAGTTGGTAGATTTGAGGAGTTAACACTTAGCCTTTGGCAGGTCCTATCCATCTATTTGAGGATACTAACCCCTCTATTTCTCCCACCACCTCCTCCCCATTTAAACTTACAGGGAAAACATGTAGAAGATAAAATATATCTCTTGTGTATTTTCAGGGAAGGAAATAACAGAGCAACCCTAGCAACTTTTTAAAACAATATTTCTGCTTTAAAGCTTAAGAAAACTATCACCTCAAGATTTTATTTTGTTCTGAGGGAATCAAGCTAAATTTCAGCACTAAATATATTTCCTTTGAATAAAAAGACAAATGACTAGTGGTTTTAAATTGCTGGGTTTTATTAAGATATTGGCAAAATTTCAACATACTTCTCACCTGAATGAACAGTTTTAATGAAATATGAAGGATCACTGGTGATTGCAACTGAACTCAAGAGTGAGATGGAGAGCAGGTTCTTAAGTTGATAAGTTTACTTGGAAAGAAATTATTTACTTCATTCACTTCACTCCATAGAGAATTTCTTTGCAGAGAAATGTCATGAACAAGAGGACAAAGCCTGTCTCTCACCCAAGAGCACCTAGAGGAGGTTACTGATGACACACCTGTGGGCTTTCTCACACATCAGTTTATCAGAGTTCCTTTTCCAGAACAACTGTTATGTCCGTCTGGAGTTCCCTGTCTTCATACTTTCTAAATAGTACAGTAAGTAATCTTCAAAATAGAAGATAAAATGCTGCTAGAGGAAGTAATTTTCAACACAGTACCATTTGTCTGGAAAAAGAGTCGTGTTATAACACTGGCGGTATCTTGTTTTAAAAAAAAAAAATCTAAGCTATTCACAGGTCGGAACATAAGAGTTGGTGGGTATCTATTACCTTTTATGGCCTTGCTTAGGTGAGAATGACCACTGAGGGAACACATTATGTTTAAACATCAAAATAATTATTTAGATCACTTCCTTACAAAGCCTTGGTCAGCTTTCTGATGGGGAAGGAAGTGTTTAAACCACAGCAGTTTTATCTGTAAACACTGAACTTTCTGCATCGTTTTCATCTGCCCATTAGAACACAAATTTGGCTTAGTACTCCAAAATGGGAGTACTAAGGGAGATACAGGGAGATACAGCACGACACCATACCACCATGTGGGCCCTGTACCACTATAATGTGGTCAGGCTCAATATTGACATTGATGTTGCTGACACTGTCCTTGGAAAAGGTGTTACTTTTAAGATCCTCTAAAACAAAACAGTAACTTTAATTTTATTAATTCAAGGACAATGGGTGGCATTTCTAGGTAAAGTAAGAATATATGCATGTGTATTTCCACCATCCTCTTTAGTCGAGGCCTAACTGGTACCGAGAGCCCCGGTGTTTGATGTGATAGAGCTGCTCACTATCAGCTCGCTCCCAATAGAAATCCAGAAAGTGAACGAATCAGAGCGATTTCCTTTGAAAATCATAGGGAATATACAAGATGTTCATAATCACTTTAGTTGGTGACTTGAAGTCTGTTTCCCTAACCAATACTATACTTTCTTGTTTACACTGTTCTACTATTTCCTATTCTAACAAAACTTTAGCAGGCAAACAAATTGATGCAGATCATGTTAAATTCAAAGAAGGATACTGCCACTCCTAAAGACTGTGGAACTTTCACCGCCACTAAATTACACAGTGAGTAAAAGTACAAGACACGTAGTTCACAGGCTATACCTCAGCATTAACAGTTAATATATATTATATAGATACTTTTATATCTATCTAATATTTTTACAATCAGCAGGTACACCATCTTAAAGTACAAGTGACAGAAATGTGTAAAGACCATTAGTTAGAGAATACTTATTGCTCACATCAGCAAGCAGCAAATAAGGGCACTGGGTTTGAACTGAAGGAACTACTTTCTATCGCCAGTGGCATTAAGATATAACACTGCACTTCACAAAGCACTGCTTCTGTCTGGTTTATAGAACCAAGAGCAGAATATATCAGACCAATAACCACTACTCTAATATGTATTATAGAATTTTAAAGGACTTACCTTACAAATGGCACCTAACTACTCTATAAATATGGATGTGGACAAATGAAATTTTGCTATTTTTTACAATACTGTTTCATAACTTGATCATACTAGAACTACTTTGCTTTATTTTCTAGAGGGCTATGGTATGAAAATGGAGTTAATACTGCTTATGTAGTCCAGTCTACAAGATCCAGACCCCTGAAGATGTGGTCTGTGTTGATCCCAATTTCATCCAACCATTTTCCCCCACTGAAAAAACCTATCACTTGTACCTTCTTTCCTCTCACCATCTTTATTCTGATCAAAAATTTTAGTTCTAGAAAAATTTAATTTTTTTAATCTAGCTAAATGCTGGACTATAATATATTCTGCTGCCCCTGTTTCCTTATCTCCTTAGATAATTGGATTAGAAACTGATACTGCACCTGATGGGTATACAAGATCTAGGCTTGAGGAAATGAAAGATGTGAGGTCCATGGGGGGTAGAGGGGTAAAATATCAGGCTGGTGAGATTCTGGTCACAAGCCTCGAGAAAAGACTGACTTCAAACCAAGAGAAAACAAATACTGAAAATGTCTAATTACATTCAATTTTTAAAAATAAAACATGTGAACTAATGATGTGATCATCACTAAAGTGAAGTTGTTTTAACCCAAAGTATCTGTATTTTAAAATCCAAGGGTTTTACTCCTCCCTTATGGATCTGGAGAACATAAAGTAACTGTATTGTGTACAAACATAGTTAGGCATTGGACGTTCCTCAGCAAGAGCATCCGTTATCTGATATAATGAGTGATGAGCACTATAGCAGGCACCTCCTGTCCATTGACTTGTCTGGTCCACAGTTGACTAGGGGAGGGTAACATGTCATGTGGAGACATTCATGATTCTCAGAATCAGGCTGCTTCATTGAATGAATCTGATAATTATTCTATTTGCTGTCTTTAGTTGAAGATGTGCTTCTGACTTGAAACTGCAGAAATGGCAAAAAGCAGACAATTGTAAAATATAAAAATAAATATTGAAATGAGAAGTACACATTCTCTCTCTGCATGAAGTATTCTTCATTTCTAACTAAGCAGACCTTGGTCTCAGTATTCTGTCCTCTCTCTCGTCCTTGGCCTCCAGGCTCACTTTAAGCAGCACTTTCAACTTCTCTCACACCAATTCATTCCCTTGGGGGAAACAGTTTTAGAAAAGTTAAAACTTTTATTTTTGTTAATCCTCACCTGAGGATATTTATTGAGTTTTAGAGAGAGTAGAAGGAAGTGGAAGAGAGAGAAACATCAGTTGGCTGCCTTCCACACACCCCCAACCAGGGCCAGGGACCGAGCCTGCAACTGAGGTACATGCCCTTGACTGGAATCAAACCTGGGACCCTTCAGTCTGCAGGCCGACGCTCTAGCCACTGAACCAAACCAGCCAGGATACCACTTATTTTATAGTGGTATATGGCTTTTGCTGTCTTTGACCTTTTAAAAAAATGGGGGGAGAGAAAAAATAGAAATGTTATTCTATTTTCTTTTCAAATGTACCTGACATCTCCATTAAACCAGTGTTATTCCTGAGATGCAGGTACAATGAAAAATATGTCAGCATCACAGGTTGAAACCAGTTGACAGTGGTCTTCTAATATGACAAATAAAAAAATTCCACTAAAAGCACCATAACAAGTTATGAAACTCCCAAATAGCTACAGCCTTAGGAAATAATTTAAAAAGCTGTCCTTTATGTTACAGAAAAGGGGGGAGGGGGAGGAAAAAGGAAATCTTTATGGTGCCTCACAAGTCTGACAATATGACATTTTTACACTAGGTTTCTACTTTTGTTGTTACCGGTTAAAACCCATATGGCTTATAGTATTTTATTTACCAAAAAAGTGGGCAAGGGAGGGTTTTCCTCATAGTCCCGAGTCTTTTGAGGAACAGTCCTCAAATCAATTCTACATTAAGTTTTCCAAAGGTATATTAGGTATATCAGACCAGATTTCAACTGCATTATTTCAACACTATATCCTGACAAAAATAAGTACCTTGCAAGCTTCCACTAATGGTGTGAAGAGGCATTGGGGTGGGGTTGTATGGAGATATGGAGATACATTACAGGGATCAGTTGTATAATTTTGCTAATGAAACTGCCAAAAAACTTTGATTGAAATCACTATTTTGAGTTTCCTAGAGATCTATTTACTTTTAAGAATTGAGCCATCCATGATTTCATAATGAGCACACATATTTCAGAAATGTCTACCTTGTTTCTACTCTGATAGTGGTTTTATGGGGGGAGAGCTAACTAGCCTACTCTAAAGAAGAAGTATTATATTTTACAGCTCCAGGGAGGATCTGGGTATGGGATATCATTACTCTTCCTGAGCTGCTTCATGTTTTCATTATACTCTTTCCAACTATTTTGCCTCAATGGCAGAGAACTTCTTAACATCCTATTTCTTTTCCCACGTGAAGTAAGTGAAAATAGGCTTGTGCCTACTTTGTGGGAAGGCTCTTGAGCAGAGAGGAATGAATTAAACTTTGGATTAAACCTGAATCCATGCCACCTCTTTAAGTAGTGATAGCGTAAATGAGATAATCTAGAAACTCTATTTCCCAGGAATTTTAACTGTTCATTTTCCAACATAGAACAGACAGGAGACGAACTCTCCATTCTGTATATCTGCTGCCCTGTTACACCCAAATTAAAGGAAGAGGGAAACGCTCCAGCACCGCTCCATTCAGACAATGATGATTGAACTGATTCTTTCTCCATTATTAGCTCATTAATAAGATTTGCTTTCTTTGGTGCACCAGGACCAAGCATCTCAACTGGTGGCAAAAACTGAGCAGTGTGAGGTTTGCTTGCTTCTATTTGTGTGAGATCTAGGTAGCCTGGGTCTTCTAGCACGTTGATTTGGGACCCTGGGCTCAGGCTAGTTCTGTCAGTGAATGAATCCACACGCCCATCATAACCTAGATCGGCTGGTGCTGAGCATTGGTGCTGAGGCCAAGGGCGTTTGCACTCTCCATGATTTTCCTTATCATCCCCACCATCTTCTTGCCCTCCTTGAAAAGAGTTCTCTGTCCAGTCTGATTCCTCACTAACATTTTCAGCTTTGTTTATGTCCCTCAGGAAAACCACAATAACTGTGATGTTATCACTTGACCCAGCATCACGAGCTGACGCCACTAATTTGTGGGCAACCATGCTGCTGTCTCCATTATTCTCCTTCAAGTGGTCAGATACAACTTTCACTGCCTCGTCAGGGTTCACGGTGTCATAGAAGCCATCGCAGGCCAGAATGAGGTAGTCTTCAGTTCCATCCAACACAGTAGAGGCAGAATCTGCTTCCCCACAGATATATGGCTTATGTTCAGCATCTCCTGTGGAAATTAGAACATAGGTCAGAGTTTGCTTTACTTTGCTTATAAGAATGTGCATGACCAATGCTATGACTCTGACCACATTCTGCAATTGTGATCTGAATTTACTGGAATTTATAAACTAGTTTTAGAGAATACTTGAATTCTTTGATAATCATATGCTGCTTATGCCTCACTTTCAGTTGTATAATTGTCATTAATGGGGCTTAATTTCTTATCTAGTTTAGACTCTTAATTTTATGCCCTAGCTATGACTTAGGCTTAGCTGAGCATGGCAACAAATGTCACATCTAAATTTGTTGCTATACTGGAAACTTCAGTCCTGCATAGGAAAACCTTGTGGATTTAGTAGATCTTTTACTGGTGGTTAACTTTGATCCAATTGAGATTTGAGAACAGATCTACATTGAAAAACAAACCAAAGTTCTGGTCATTAATTTTTATTAAACACAATTCTTATTATATCCTTGTTTAGAAATTAAGTTTCATGCTGTGAACAAAAAGGAAGGCTTGAATTACAAGGGATTTTTAAAAATCAAGTCCAATTCCCACAAGCCAGGAAGTCTTCCCAAGCCTCAGACAAGTGAATTAGAATGTTAGTCTCGATTTCCAGTCCAATTTGCTTTCTTTCTATTTTTTTTTTAATTTTTTTTTTTTTTTTATTTCTAGAGGATAGTCAGAATGTGTATTATCATTTTTTTCATCTTTGGGAACTACCATATTCTTGCTTTTTTCTTCAAATTGTTTCTGATCATACCCTTCTGTCTTTATTACTCATCCTTCACATATGAACAACTGTAAGAACCACAAAAACCATATTTGCTCAGCTCATCCACTTACAGAATGACATTATAGCTGGGCCTTGAAGAAGTTATCACTGGGCAGAGAAGGGTCCTGGGTTGAACGAACAGAATTGTGAAGACAGGGAACTATTAGGGACTAATACCTATTTGAATATAGGGTGCTGGGAGTAGACAAACTGGAGACCTTGGGCCCACACACTGAGGTAGGTTTCCATCACAGACTATTAAGACAAGCCATGCCGAAACCAGTTTGGCTCAGTGGTAGAGCGTCGGTCTGTGGACTGAAAGGTCCCAGGTTCAATTCCAGTCAAGGGCATGTACCTTGGTTGCGGGCACATCCCTGGTGGGGGGTGTGCAAGAGGCAACTGGTTGATGTTTCTCTCTCATTGACGTTTCTAGCTCTCTATCACTCTCCCTCTCTGTAAAATATCAATAAAATATATATTTTTTTTAAAAAGCCATCATCTATAGTGTAGTTTGGAACTTCTGGATTCAGAGCACTTCCAAATGCATTGTTTTCCTTAGGGATTTGGAGAGAACTAGCAAAAAGGGTCCTTACCCTATTGGGTAACCTAATATAATAGATTATTCCTTACAACAAGGGATACTTATTTCTTAACATAAAAAAACAATCAAACAATATTAAGCAGTGATTCTTAGATTAGGATATCATAATTCATCAATAAATAATACTTTTTAAAATTTTACAAAGTGCTTTTATCATTTGTAAAGCAGTGACAGCTTAGTGGTTTAAGGAGGCCAGCATGAGTCACCACTGCCTAGGTCCAAATCCTAGCACTTGTTAAAAGCCCTCATCAATTATTAGCCTTTCCATTGTACTAAAACTGGACATTTTGAGTAGGGGAAGATAAAATAAAGATAAATATACTTAAGTTATCTGGTTACATTGTCACCTATTTGATATAGGTTTCCCCCAACATTTCACATTCCTTTTTAATCCTCATGTAGACCCAGAAAGCTGAATGGGAACCCTATGGAGAACTTGGCTAGCACCAACGGTGGGCCACATGCCCCACCCAGCATTTTGAAAGGGATACCCTAAAAAACAAATACTGAATATATTTACCTGCACTAGTTTATCTACAAGGTAAGAAACGATCTTTTTCATACAGTAGCCAGAACCGTCTTCCTCAAGCATGGTTTTGATTTTTCACTTCTATAATATGATGCCTTTCAATTAGCCAGTTTGGAAATGCTAGTTAAAATTTCCAGTCATGGGGTTCAGTGTCCTCCACAAATCTACTTCACAAAGTTCCCCCTCTGCTACTTCACCTCACTGTATTGTTATCATCATCATTATTTTCTGAATTCCAGCTCTAAAAATAAATGTGATCTGAGTCATGCTGTTCCCAAAAATCTTGTTTTAGTGTGTCAAGTAAAAGGCTACTGCGACTGTTAGTTTAGAACAGAACATACAAAGATTTGCAAAAGAAATGTTGCCAGAATTCTGGCTTTTCACCTGCTCTACAGTTGGTAGAGCAGGTGAAAAGCCAGAATGGATGTCAAATTCATGACATTCCGCCCCCAAATTTGGTAGGAGGCCATGATTTATCCATTTCATGGTAGAAATGGCAACATCCTTTTGTTGAAGACATCCTCTCTCCATATGCTAGGAAACACCATGCTTTAGTCAACTTTGCATCACACATCTGAAATGGCTTTAAAGCTTTTAATTTTCAAAGCTTGAAGAGTCATTTTTTCCTAAGTAGAGTTGAACTCTGCTTAGAAATCCTTTTTCTTGTCCCCATTTAGCCCTCTATTTTATGCCATGAGTTTTCTAAATCTCTCATTTTTCAACTCCCTCTTCCAATTAAACTACTGGATTTAGGCAGATTAAGTTTATCAATCCTGAATTTCCTCAGTTCTTCTCCACCATTTCTTTTCTCTCTCTCCCGTTCAATTTCTCTTGTACTTGTTCTCTTCCTTAATTGTATAAACAGGGTCTGATCTAAAATCTAAAAAACAACAATGAAAGCAACCCTTTCCCAAATCGGCTTTCCCCTCAAATCACCACATTGTCCAAGAAACCAAATCTGTACATGCTCCTTCATGTTATCGCTCATTTTCCCTTACCTGATTGTTTCCTGGTTTCTGTGCTACTGATCATACACATTTATCTCAGATGTTATCAATCATAGTAAGCCTTCATTTAATATCATCTATAGGTTTCTGTGACTAAGTGAAATGATAAAAGGAAACCAGTTTTACCTGAGGCTAATTAATACAAACAAGAGCAAGTTTGTGCAGCATCTCATTACGTTATAACAAATTATAATGAACAGAACATTATGCAGGGAACTGCTGTATTCCCTGTTTTCAAAATTCCAGGTCTTTTTTTAACCCACTTCTCACTTGACCTTTGCAGCACTTGACCCTATTCACTACTTTTTTCCTAGAAACCCTTTTCCCCCTAGCGTCTGAGATAGCCTACTTCTAAAACTCCGATCCCCTCTTTTTCTTCACTATCTCCTTCACTTAACCACTGTACTGACAGCACAGCTGGCGTGGCTCAGTGGCTGAGTGTCAGGTCACTGTGTGATTCTCGGTCAGGGCACATGCCCAGGTTGCAGGCTCCATCTACTGGAGGGGATGTGCAGGAGACAGCCAGTCAATGATTCTTTCTCATCATTGATGTTTTTATCTGCCTCTTCCTTCTCTGAAATCAATACAAATATATTTTTTAAAAAATAATAATTGTACGAACAGCCCTGGGCATCTTCCTGTGCACCAAAGAGTTGCCAGTTGGAGCACGTGCCTGGGGTGCAGCGGGTCCCTGGTTGGGGGCGTGCAGGAGGTAGCCAATTGTTTCACTCTCACATCGATGTTTCTCTTCCTCTCTCAAAATAAATTTTAGAATTTTAAATAAAACACTAACAATCACTGTTTAAGACTGTGACATACAGAACTCTTGAGTGTGGTGCATGTATTGTGCTATTTAATACAAAACCTTTATGACTTAGGTCAGTGGTCGGCAAACTCATTAGTCAACAGAGCCAAATATCAACAGTACAACTGAAATTTCTTTTGATGCCGAAACCGGTTTGGCTCAGTGGATAGAGCGTTGGCCTGCGGACTGAAGGGTCCTGGGTTCAATTCCCGTCAAGGGCATGTATCTTGGTTGCGGGCACATCCCCAGTAGGGGGCGTGCAAGAGGCAGCTGGTCGATGACTCATCGATGTTTCTAACTCCCTCTCTTTAAAAAATCAATAAAATATATTTTTAAAAAGAAATTTCTTTTGAGAGCCAAATTTTTTAAACTTAAACTTCTTCTAACGCCACTTCTTCAAAATAGACTTGCCCAGGCCGTGGTATTTTGTGGAAGAGCCACACTCAAGGGGCCAAAGAGCCACGTGTGGCTTTGTGAGCCACAGTTTGCCGACCATGGACTTAGGTACTGTTACTGTTCACATTTTACAAAGAACAAATAGAAACAGAGAAATAAACTTTCCAAAGCCCTCAGCTTGTAATGTGGCATATCCAAGATACAAACCCAGAGAGCTGACTTCATTATGTTATTCTGCCTTAAGGAATGAGGCTCTTGGGCAATGTCATCCATACTTTCAACTAATATATATGGTACTTCAGAAGTTGCTATTATTATTGCCAAAATAGGATGAGTTCCCAAATCTCTATATTCAATTCAGAACTCCGCTAAACTCCAGATCTGTATTTCCAGTTGCATATAAATTATCTTTTCCAAAAACATACCACAGGTACATAGAATATAAAATATATCCAAAATGAACTCATTTGCCCACCTCCCCACCCACCAAATTGCTGCTGCTTTATGACAAATGCTTTATCTTCTCAATCACACAAGTCAAAAGCCTGGAAGTTAGCTTTCCTCTTCCCCCACAAACTGTCATTTCTATCCCATCAATTTATTTCCTCTGTATCCCTTTTTAGCTGCCTCATCTCTGTAAAAGTGTATCAACAGCTTCCTGAATAATCATTCATCTAGGCTTTCTTCTTTAGTCTGTCTTACAAACCATCATTACAAACCTGATCATGTGGGCCCCTCTGCTCAACACCTGGTAAAACCCAGACAGACTACTTAGTCCCTTCACAACTTAGCACCAGCACTTCCACCTCTGCCCCAGCCTCTGTTCCTAAACACAACGCTCTTTCAGACACCCATGGATTACATCCCCTGAACCTGGGGTTTCCTCCCTGAATACTGTCCTCCATGCCCAACACAAAAGTCACTTCCTCTGTCGAGTCGGCTTATTCTGTCCTAGACTGTCACTTAGTCAAGGACATTCTTCCCGCTTTAGTTTCCCCGTGTGTTATATTTTTAGAAACAAGAAAAGTCAAGTATCTCCCTAGTAAAGCTGGTTCTATAACAGGCATAAAAGATACCTCTCAAACACTGACAAAGATGGGAAGATCAAGAGGAAGAGGTCTTTGGTTGGAATTGTCAAAAAATAATTCTATATAGAATGTTTTAGAAATGGGAAATTTTCCCTATTTGGCCTTATTCCAGAGTTCCTAATAACTCCCTCAGTCAGAAGATAAAGCCAACTTTCCCACTTTTTAAGGAGATATTTGCAGAATTTTTCTTTCTCTCTCAGCCTTCTGCTACCCACATTAGGGCCACTTCACAGCTTGCCAGAACCTTCCGAAGAGTGGGAGGAACTACTCACACCCGTGTGAAACGGAACCAGTCCTTTGAGATTTTTTGGTAATGATTAGCAAAAGTTGGGGATTAGAGGTAAATTCCATTAATCCATGTTATCCCTATGTCAGATCACCTCATTTCTTTAGGAAGCTGTGACGAAGAACTGCAGTATATATGCACATATGCATATCACCCATATAGGCACTCACATTGATTGATTCTTCAAAAACAACAACAGAAAATAAAGCTAAGACATGAAAACTAAAATGAACTCAGGTACAAAAGTGAAACAAAGACAGAAAGTAGACTATAACTCAATTCTCTGAACTTATACTCTTGAACTTTGTCTAATCAATTTAGCTGTTTACTCTAAATTTTAGACAGTTTTGTTGACTTACCCTTCTCTTGAAGAATTTAGGTCCTAGGGAGCAGATTCTTTGAAACTCCAGAGTTATCTAGCAAATTATTACCCTCATATAGAAAATTTTCATCTAAAAAGCACAATATTTTCCCCATGGATTTGTTCTCTGTTGTTTAGTCATTTAAAAATTCATAATGACCGAAACTGGTTTGGCTCAGTGGTAGAGCTTCGGTCTGCGGACTAAAAAGTCCTAGGTTCAATTCCGGTCAAGGGCATGTACCATGGTTGCGGGCACATCCCCAGTAGGGGGTGTGCAAGAGGAGGCTGGTCGATGTTTCTCTCATCGACGCTTTTAGCTATCTCTCTCTATTCCTCTCTGTAAAAAATCAATAAAATACATTTTTTTAAAATTCATAATGAATAACAAAGATAAAAAATGAAGGGAGGTTTCCATTTTCTGGAAAATACTTATTTAAACTAAATATGACCCACAATGAAATGAAATGAGGATTGTGTGGATTTGTGTACCAAAGATTAAAGACTTTCTTTTAAAAAAATAAGGGGAGATAGAAACTAGTAAGTTCTGTTTCTTAATAAAGTTCCCTTTTAAGCATATAAATGAGTAGGTTAATTAAATAATTTACAGAGCCACCATCTAGCTGCTATTTTAAATAATAAAAAATACACTGATAATATAAATTATCATCTCTGGCTTCTTGTTGTATCAGACTTAACATAAGACAAAGAGGACAGTTTAGAGAAACAAAAATTAATTGGTTTTTCCTACCAATAGCTCTGGAGACCGATAGACTTCCATTCACTCGCCAGGCACCAAACCAGACTACACAACCTCCCAGGGCCTCAATTCGCTGCTTTTCATCCTGAACAGCAATGCAGTGTAAAGAAGCATATAATTAGATGCAGGATTTATTCATCTACATTAACAGTAAACAACAGATATATTCATCAGCTTTCTGGAAAGTTTCTCTTTATTTCTCCTTTGGAAGGTGGTCTTGGATGCTGAGATAATGGTGATAATTATGTTTTAAGAGAATCTTACTTAATAACAAGACAATACTTACTTCTCTGTCTGGTTTGTGTGGCTTCATTAGTTCAACAGCTTGGCCCTTTCTCACAAGCATCACCTGGGAGTCGCCCACCCAGGCCACATGCAGCATGTTGCCTCTGATGAAAGTCACCACTCCTGTGGTCCCGCATCTTAAGCTCTAGAGTCAGTACAAATAAATAGATATCAAATTCTAAGAACATATATGCATAACCCACTGACATAATAGTATGGGGAAGGCCTGAAGTGGGGTGCGGGCTGGGTGGAGGGGGTCAGAAAGGGAGGCATCTCCCATAATACTGCCAACAATAAAATTTAAGCAGATATCATTCTCATTGAGAAGCAATTTATGATTGATTCAGACCTTTCAGTTGGGAGCTAGATTATTAATAGATTGATTTCAAAAACAAATAGCAATTTCTGTTTTTAAATTTGAATTTCTCATTTTGATATGCATGTATGTACTTAAAGGTGCACACATATAGATCCATTTATCTGTGATATGCAAGGCAGGGATAATCATTAACTCCATTTTATATACAGGTAGGAAAACGATGATAGATTATGTGACTTGTCCAAGGGCAGGTAACTGACTAGTACACATAAAAGAAATGAAATCCTTTTTCCTGCTAGTCCAGTGCCGAATCCACTGTAACAATTCTAAGAGTAAAGATTACCATACTGTGGTCTCTGTTACTGACATACTGTATGTTTCGGGGAGAGTCCTCACTTTACAAAATAACATGTAAAGCATCTGACTGCTACACAAGTGCTCCCATACTCTGGATAGTAAGATAGGAGCCAAGAGATAACATACATTCTCTGGAGTTAGTGCTAAGATGTTTACTAGTATACTTTAAAACAAATAATTTTAGCAATGAACTTTGTAAACTTGCTTTTGGAACATTATATAAAGGACTAACAGCCTGGAATTTCACTGCATTGGCTCAATATCACTTTACTTAATGCTCTTGATACTACTATACTGATATGACATCTCCATTTGACATGAGTCACCACCAAATGAGCATGATTTTCAATTATTAAGAACTTGTCCTAAATTAGAACAAGTGCGTCATGGGTGGTAAAAGGCCCCGGTAGCCAATGAGAAAAACAACTCCTTTTCCCTATATAGGGAGAGTCTGTTATAAATCCTCACCCACCAATGAAATGTCTTCCCACACAGTCTGTTCAAACTCAGCCCCCTGGAACACATGATAAAGACACGGCAGTGCATATGCCCGGAGAGAACAGGAGGCAGGGCTGCTTCGCAACAGGCATAGCTGCTTTCTCCCCAGCAGTTGGCAGCTCATGGCAGCACAAGGAGAAAGCTTAACTGTTTGCTGAGACAAACCTGAATCACTCAAGAGAACTACTGGCAGGACTGAGAAAAACTAGGGTCCTGGCAAAGCAAATAAAGTGAACTTAGGGAAAAAGTCGTACTTTTGAGTGCACAGAGGAAAAGAGAACAGGATGAGAAAGACAAGCGATTCTCTTAGCTTCACAATGGGGATTACAGATCATCTCTCGGGCTGGGTTTGTCTTCAGTCAGAAGGAGGACAAACAGCTGGACAGTGCCAGCACTCAAGAGATTGGGAAGGTCCGAGGTCAACACTGTATCTTGTTTTCTAGCCCCACATCTCCGTATGTAGACCTCAGTGGTTGCTGATGGTGGATTCACCTATTAATCTAAACCTGGGGTATACGTGGGAAATACAGACTATTTCTCTTGCCTAATAACAAATAGTTCTGAATTATTTCATTAATTCTAAGTCACACTACTGCTGTATAGCAAATTATGAGGTCAAAGAAATAGATTAAAATGACTACCCTGTTCTCTCCAGCCATTTTGAAGAGTTAATGTTTAGGTTATATAACAGTTTATCTACATCAAAAATTATTCTCTTTCTGTTGTGCCCCAGTTAGAAATGAATGTAAATACCATAATTAATTATGTACCAATACCCAGACTGATAATTTTTTTACTTTTAAATCTTAATATAGAGCCCCTGTCATTTATTCAGAGTAAAAACCTTATCTGATTAACATTAAGAAATTAGGACATGAGCTCTGACTTTCTTCCTGTTAAGAGAATCAGTTCAAGGATTATCTAAGGATTCACTGTCTCCAAGCAAATTTTCCCTCAACAGATACATAGCAAAACATTGCCAACCCATTTAGAATTAAATGCATGGGAGTAATCCCAGCTTTGTGTTTGTTTGGTTTTTTTTAGACCATTGTTTTAATCTCCATTTCCAGATTTTATCAGCAAAAGTCAGCTTAGAGAGATGGTCCTCATGTGAACCTGACAGGTAATAGTGAGTATGAAAGACAAAACTCATCTGCCAAATCCAGCAATGGAGTGCCTTTGTAGAAAATTACAGCCGAAGCCGGTTTGGCTCAGTGGTAGAGCATCTGTGGACTGAAAGGTCCCAGGTTCGATACCAGTCAAGGGCATGTACATTGGTTGCGGTCACATCCCCAGTAGAGGGTGTGCAAGAGGCAGCTGGTCGATTCTCATCGACGTTTCTAACTCTCTATCTCTCTCCCTTCTCTGTAAAAAATCAATAAAATATATATTTTTTAAAAATTATAGCTTGGGAGTTTCTATACCGTACATCATAGCACCCCACTAAAACTCTTCCGAAGAGAAAATCAGAACTACAACAGAATCCAATACTGAGGGGCGAGAACAGTTTAGAAGAACTTTAAATAATGCCTGTCCCAAAAGGGAAAATACAAATAGCCCTTTATCCACAGATCAGTTGAGCTCAGCCGGTGCAGTCATGACAAGAATTTATGAGAAAAAGGCATACCTCCCTGGCTGCTTTCTGTATAAACCGTTCATCCGTGACCCGAAAGGCCCGGCATAAGGCTTCAGCAGGATCGTGGGGGAACATCTCCTGGCGTACCAAGTTAACGTGCAGGTGAACGGAGGCATAAATGGCAGCATCTACTCCTCCATGGCCATCAAACACTGCAAAGTAAGCTTGTTCTTCCTGGTCCTGTCCATAGAAACACAGAAACAGTGGCCCCTATACTGTTGCCCAGATTAATGAGATTAAGTGTTTCCCTTGTCTGATATGCCTGATCAACTGCTAAGACACCTGCAATACTAGGGCATATGTGTTTACACCAGAATGCTGGAACACATCATGCCCAATTAGCTCTGGCTGAAGTGCCCTCTCTCTGTGAAAGTTGTCTTGCACCATGGAAACCACCCACATGTATTTGCTTCAAAATTGCTATTACAATTTTGAGGGGAGAGGGAGGGAAAAAAGGTATGAGGAGGGACTGAACAAAAACTGTTCTGGATTGAGTGATTTTTTCCAAAAAGAAAAGCCTTTTAATCATAAAATTAGAAACTAAGAACAATAGGAAATAATTGGGCTTCCAGCACAAATCCAATTATGTTAGGTTGTTTAAAATACCGAGATAATGAAAGCATACACATACTTTTTTAAACTATATGTCCCTCATAAATAATTCATAGTCACATTGAATCCTCAACCAGTCTAAACTGGTTGGCAAAACTTGAATCACACACATGTCCAAATGCACTTAACACTTCCTTGTTCCCTGTTTGAGGATTCAGCTTCCCATTTCTTTGCCACGCCCCTCCTCTCCCAACAACTGCCAGGGGGGCGCTTCCAAGCTTGTGCTTTGTCCTGCCAAATAAGCCTAATCACAAGATTACATTTAAACCATTAAGTAATTTGCTTCTTCAACTCAAATATTTAAATCTCAGATCTACCTTGCTTAGGAGATATATAACTCACTGAATTCTGAGTCCTAAACTCTCTTTAGACAACAGTTTTTAATGATTTTCATTTATAAGTTTTTGACATTCCTTGAGCTCTAGAAACTTGGATGAGTATCATATGTAAATGTCCAGAAAGTAATGATTATACCCAAATATTATTCAGTCTGTACCTACTACAGACATTACATGCTAGTTAATTTAGCAGTCTAGTGAACACCACCTGCAAGGTTAACTGACTATCGTTCATTCTAGAGAAAAAGTCCTGACATATGGTTTCTACCTGTACTGAAAAGTAGTACTCATTTTTATACAACTTAATTGGAAGGATAAGAGTATAATAGAAAAACAGCATATATAAGCAGCTTTTAAATGATGAATGAGCTGCTATGGGATTATTATAGAGAGAGAGGGGACAATAATTTCTTAATTGGGACATGAGACTGCAACTAAACAATGTGAGATCTGTAGAGAGATTCTTAGTATAGACAGCAGCAGAAGAAATAGGAGAAGTCTAATGGATTTCTTAAATATCGATAATTAGTATAGCTTCTTAAATTAAAAAAAAACAACACTGATTTTTTTTCTCTATTATAAAGACAGTGTACATTTTTTTGGCCTGATAAAGAAGTGTAAAGAAGTAAATATCTATAATCCTACCATCCACAGATAACCAGTCATATATATACACATTTTTCAATAAAATTAGGATCATACTATACATTGAATTTTATATCCTGCATTTCCCATATGTCATTAAATATTCTCAAAGACATAACTTTAAATATATGTGTACTATATGTTTTATGAACATATCATAGTTACCATTCCCTATATGTAATAATTTAAGTCATTTACAATTTATTATTATTGATAATGTTTTATGAAAGAGTTATGTCAAACAAAAGATCCTTTGGGTTATATTTGCATGGACATGGTAACATTTGGAAATAAAGATATTACTTCATCTATCTTGTAATATAAGCACCAGTTACTAACCCACCATCACTGCTTATCAGACCTTGACAGTCAGCTTAAATTTAAATGTAACTGCTAAATAAAGGAAATATTGTGCTTTGTAGAAATGACTACATTGTAATTTCTAAGTTATGGACTTAAGGAAAAAGGTAAGTGACAAGCAAAGAAAACAAACCTGCCTCTGTTTGCATTAACGTAATACACTTATTAGAAAGAGAAGAGGAATATGACAAGAACATGGTTATTAAGTTGACAAGGCTCATATGATCCAATTTGTCAGTCACAGATTCAGGAAATGTAATTCCAGCTACTTTCTATCAGAAACTAAGATTTAAAAAAGAAAACCACATGAAATCAGTAAATTGTCTCAGTTTCAAATTCATTCTTTTATGTTTGTGTTTTGTGTTGCGCTTTAGCAACATAATGTGGAACTTAATAAATGCCACTTGATTATACTATGAAAATAGTTTCCTTAAAGAAAAACACACAGCTTTATAGTGATATAACAGGTTTTTGGGATTTTTTTTTACTTATGTCTATAGAATAGCTCTGGAAAGTTACACAAGAAACTGCTAGTTCCCTTGCCTTCATGGAAGGGACTGAGTGTTTGAGAGACAAAAATAAGAGAGATTTTATTTTTCTACTCTAAACCATGTGAATGCATTACCTATTCAAAATAAAATAATTCCCTTTAAAAAAAAATAAATCCTTATTGTTCAAATTACAATTATTCCTCTTTTTCTCCCCCATAGTCCCCCCTCCACCTGGTTCCCATCCCACCCTCTGCTCTTATCCCCACCCCACCCCATCCTCATCCATAGGTGTACAATTTTTGTCCAATCTCTTCCGGTATCCCCCTATTCTTCTTCCCCCGCCCCCATGATTATCAGTCTACTCCCTTTCTATGCCTCTGATTCTGTTATATTCACCAGTTTATTCTGTTCTTGAGGTTTTTTATTCACTTGATTTTTAGATCCATTTGTTGATATATTTTTGTTGATCATAATTTTTATCTTTTTTTCTTCTTCTTCCTCTTCTTAAAGAATACCTTTGAGCCGAGACCGGTTTGGCTCAATGGATAGAGCGTCGGCTTGGGGAATGAAGGGTCCCAGGTTCGATTCCGGTCAAGGGCATGTACCTTGGTTGTGGGCATATCCCCAGTAGGGGGTGTGCAAGAGGCAGCTGATTGATGACTCTCTCTCATCAATGTTTCTAACTCTCTGTCTCTCTCCCTTCCTCTTTGTACAAAATCAATAAAATATATATTTAAAAAAAGAAAAAGAATACCTTTGAGCATTTCATATAATATTGGTTTGATGGTGATGAACTCCTTTAGCTTTTTCTTATCTGTGAAGCTCTTTATCTGACCTTCAATTCTGAATGAAAGCTTTGCTGGGTAAAGTAATCTTGGTTGTAGCTTCTTGCTATTCATCACTTTAAATATTTCTTGCCACTCCCATCTGGCCTGCATAGTTTCTGTTGAGAAATCAGCTGATAGTCGTATGGGTGCTCCCTTATAGGTAACTGTTTTTCGTTTTTTTGTTTTTGTTTTAAATTTGTTTTATTGATTTTTTTTACAGAGAGGAAGGGAGAGAGATAGAGAGCTAGAAACATCGATGAGAGAGAAACATTGACCAGCTGCCTCGCACGCCCCCTACTGGGGAAGTGCCCGCAACCATTGTACATGCCCTTGACCAGAATCGAACCTGGGACCTTTCAGTCCACAGACCAACGCTCTACCACTGAGCCAAACTGGTTTCGGCCTGTTTTTCTCTTGTAAGATTCTCTCTTTGTTTTTTGCCCTTGGCATTTTAATTATGATGTGTCTTGGTGTGGTCTTCTTTGGATTCCTTTTGTTTGGGGTTCTATGTGATTCCTGGAGTTGTAAGTCTATTTCTTTCACCAGGTAGGGGAAGTTTTCTGTCATTATTTCTTCAAATAGGTTTTCAGTGTCTTGCTCTCTATTTCTGGCACCCCCATAATTCAGATTTCGGTACACTTGAAGTCCCAGAGGTTCCTTACACTATCTTCAACTTTTTGGAATCTTTTTTCTTTTTGTTTTTCCAGTTGGGTGATTTTTGCTTCTTTGTATTTCAAATCTTTGACTTGATTCTTGTGATCCTCTAGTCTGCTGTTGCATCTCTGTATTTTATTTTTTTATTTCAGTCAGTGTATGCTTCATTTCTACTTGGTCCTTTTTCATATCCTCAAGGGTCTCACTAAATTTATTGCCTTTCTAGGAAATTCTTGAAAAACCTATAACCGTGGTTTTAAACTCTATATCCAGTCATTTGCTTTTCTCCATTTCTTTCATTTGTGACCTGTTTCTTTGTCTCCAAATTTTGGCTGCTTCCCTGAGTTGATAGAGTGGCTTTGTGTGCTAGGTGTCCTATAAGGTCCAGTGGCTCAGCCTGCCCAGTTAGTCACCTGAGGTGGACACACTTGGTGCACCCTTTCGTGGGCAGTGTACACAGTCTTGTTGTAGTTAAGCCTTTATTGTTATCACTGGGAGAAATTGACTTCCAGGCCAATTGGCTGTGAGGATCAGCTGTGTCTACGATGGGAGAACTGCTGTGCTGGAAACACCTTTATGAGACAAGCCTTGCTTCAGTGGGGGTTTGGTGCTCACCAAGTCTGCCCCCTGAGTGTGTCCCTTATGGATCTGAAGAGTTGTAATCTGGATGGGCCTTCTCTGACCCCTGGGTACACTGGCTCTTGGATCTCCAAGGAGGTCCTAATTTAGCCTCTGCCTGAGGCCACCCAGCAGGAGCTATGGTGAGGTCTGCAGATTCCTCTTCTTTGTTTGGGTTTTGGAGGTTCCCAGATGAGGCCCAGCTGTGAAGCAATGCAAGCTGCTGTGGGGCCTTGGGCCTTCTTTTGGATGTTCTGGGTCTCACTGACTCAGCTGTAGTTTGTTAAATAAGTTTAGAATTCAAAGGACTAGGCCATTCATATGCAAAAGCCTCTGCACTCAGCTTGGATGGGGTGGAGTCTCAGGGTGGAGCAAACAGCAATTGCTTCCCATCGGCCCTGCCCTAAGAGGCTCCTGGGTCTCAGTGTCCTGAGGTAATTGCTACAAGCACCTCTGAGAGAAAGCCACCCTCAAGTTTTGACCACTGCCATACCAGTTTCTCCCGGTATGAGTCTGGGTCCCCAGAGTATCACCCAGAACTGGAGTTCAGATCAGTTGGGAGCTTTTGTCTCCCTCCTGATTGGGAAAGCCAGCTGAGTACTCAGTTGCCAGCCCTCTCCGTGCACATGCCTCCTTACCTCTGCCTTCCACAGCTCCTCTGAGTCTCAGTGTGCTTTTCTCTTTCCTTCTAGTTGTATAATTTCCACTCAGCCAGCCTTCCTGTGGTTCTGGATGATGTTCGTTTTGTCTTTTTTGTAGTTTTGAAATTGTTGTGGGAGGCAATTTCAGATATTTATGCCGCCATCTTGGTTTCTCCTCTAATTCCCTTTCTATTGTCTAATGCAAGCAAATTTGTGCCACTTTGCCTTTAATACTATTCAGACATATCAGATACTATCAGAAGTACAGAGTAGATTAACAGTTGCTTGTATATAAAATAGCATAGTTAACCGGTTTGGCTCAGTGGTAGAGCGTCGGTCTGCGGACTGAAGGGTCCCGGGTTCGATTCCGATCAAGGGCATGTACATTGGTTGCGGGCACATCCCCGGTAGGGGGTGTGCAAGAGGCAGCTGGTCGACGTTTCTCTCTCATCAAAGTTTCTAGCTCTCTATCTCTCCCTTCCTCTCTGTAAAAAATCAATAAAATACATTTTAAAAAAATAAAAAAATAAAAAAATAGCATAGTAGTTAATAAATACAACAATAAACTCCCACCCACCAGTTGAGCATAGATCTATGAACCAAGAGGTCACCGGTTCAATTCCTGGTCAGGGCACATGCCCGTGTTGCAGGCTCTAGCCCTAGTAGGTGGCATGCAAGTGACAACTGATAATGATTCTTCTCATCATTGATGTTCCCCCCCCCTCTTCCTCTCTGAAATCAATTTTTTAAAAATATTTTTTAAAAATAAACTCCTGAACTCAAACTGTAAATCCACTTTTTAAAATTAATTGCTATTTATTGATGATTGATTTTAGAGAGGGGGGAAAAGGAAAGGGATAGAGAGAGAGAAATACCAATGAGAGAGAAACTTCAATTGGCTCCCTACTGTATGCCTCTTACTGGGGATCAAGCCAGCCACCTGGGCATGTAGGCTGAATAGGAATTAAACCAGTAAATTCTTGGTTCATGGGTCAAGGCTAAACCACTGAGCCACACCAGCTAGGCTATTCACCCACTCTTGCCCCACCATGTATATGAGGGTTCTGTTAGAAAGCCATGAATGTGTTTTTAAAAATCTCATCGACCTCAGAAGCGCCCTTTACCTCTAGGTTGAAGAGCATATTAAAGTCAGGAATGCAGACATGTTTGTCCTCCATTTTCCTGCGCATGTTTTTGATGGCATGGATTGATGTCTCATAATAAAGCTGGGGTCTCCTGTGGAGAGGGAAGTCTTTCACCCAGCTGCAGCAAATCTCGTGTAGTTTGCTGAAGACAGAACGGGCCAATTTCACTGTCTCAATCTCTGTGAAAGAAACACAGAAACCCCCAATGAAGAGCCTTGTAAAGCTGCTTTTCACTTGCCTGATTGGTAAAGACAGAAGTAGGTCACACCAGTTAAGCTCCTCCTTAATAGAAGAAATTCCTTCTTCTCAAGAGAAATGAAGTGTTGCTTCTGAAAAGAGAAAATGATAACCTATCTAGTAGACAAACATCCAGCAGCTGCCACTAGGATGATCCTATATCCTGAGGAGAAAGGGCTGGGTTTCGTCTCGCCCACAAAGTGCTCCGGACACTGCTGTCTAGTTCAGGGCACTGTTTCCCACTCGGTTGGCTGCATGATGATCACCTGGAAGGCCCAGCCCCCTATGGGTAGACGAGTGACTGAAATGTCAACAGTGGCTTCCGGCTGATTAGAACGTGAAAGGCCTCTGAGCAACATCATTTATTTATAAACTAAGGAGATCAGGAGAGTTTACCTATCATTTGTCTTTGTTTCCCCTTCCTAGCTTCTTTTCCTCTTTCCCGTTTCCCATTTTCTCTCCTGTAACTGGTTATAACTCAGAAATTATTTTTTGTTGATTTGTTTTGTTTCGTTAATCCTTATCCGAGGAAATTTCCCCCCATTGATTTTTTGAGAGAGAGAGTAAGGGAGGGGGAAAGAGAAACATGGATGTGAAAGGAACACATCAATTGACTGTGTCCCACATACACCCTGACCTGCAGCTGGGGATGGAGCCTACTCCCTTGACCAGAATTGAATCACAGACCTTCTGTCCTCAGACCAACACTCTAACCACTAGCCAAACCGGCTAGGGCTTTTGATATCATTTGTTATTTATTTAAAGCTTTAGGCAATAGCTTAAATAGTTTAGCCAATAGGTTAACAAAGTTTTTTATTTCTCTAAGGAAAAAATGCTTACATTCTATGTGTGTAACCCTGGATAGAAAAGAAAAAAGATAACAATCAGAGGATTCTCTACTCCTAGACTATTAAGTCTACTATTCAACCTATTAAGTGGAGCTGACGAGCAGATTTCTGAGACGGATTTGCATCCCTCAGTGTATGGGCAGATATAAAAGAAAGCCTTTTAAGCAACACTGAATAGTATTGACCAGATTGTCTCACATCACCTCCATTCAAGTTGTCCTCTCCTCAAGTTGCAGTTATTGAAATAATCAAGGGGAGATTAGGTTTTCTCAGGCCAGTATTTGAGGTTCTTTCATCCCAAGTAAAAAAAAAAAAAAATAGAATTCTCAATTTTTTGTTTTACTCTACTAAGTCACATATAGCTTGACAGCCTGAGAAAATGTGTGCCAGATGGGAAATGGCTGTACATGCCTCTTGCCATCTACAATACAAGTCCCAAAGAAGAGAGACTGTATGTTCTTAGAACGGTCTGGGAACTTAGTCTCATTTTAGACATTGCCTAAATCTGTGACTACTGTTACTTGTTTTCTTATTCAATTTTCTTTTTAAATGACTGTTCAGAAACTGACCTCAAGGTTTTGTTGCTTTTTTTCTCATTAACATAATACAGGGTGGCAAACTGTTTTGTGGTTTTTGTCCCCTTGACATTTTTATATAACTGAAAATAAAGGGTACATTTGAAAGGAGTAAGTAAAATCTGAGGAGGTGTATAGAAAAGGGAAACGGAGGCCAAGAAATAACATAACATTTTGATGGTTTTAAGCAACTCCAATCTTTTTTTTTAAGCACCAGCTGCCAGACACCATCTCTTTCAGCCATCAGTTGCCTATTTGTATCACTCCAAATATGTGTTTGGATATGCATTTGACTCAATCACAACAGAGGATTGCAAAACGATAAATGAATTCAGAAACTTGTAGGTATAATAGTTGAGTGAAATAAATAATTTATAATAATATAAACCATGGTATCACTCTTTGATTTGTATATTACTCTTACCTTATAGACCTGGACTGTTTCATAAAATACCTTTATAGCTGCAGTGTGGCTACTTAAAATTTAAAATTCAGTATTTTGTTCATATTAGCTGTATTTCAAGTACTCAATAACTGCATTCAGTCAGTAGCTACTGCACGAGACAACACAGGTAGAGATTATTTTGTGTGTTTTTTTATTTTGACCTATCCTATATAATTGAGGCAATATGCAAATTGACCATCACTCCAACACACAAGATGGCCCCCACAAGATGTCTGGCAGGGTAGGGCAGTTAGGGGCGACAAAGCTGCCAAGGGAGGGCAGTTAGGGGTGACTAGGCCAGCAGGGGAGGGCAGTTAGGGGATATTGGGCCAGCAGGGGAGCAGTTAGGTGTCAATAGGAGAGTGGTTTGGGGGTGATCAGGTTGGCACACAGAAGTGGTTAGGGGCAGTCAGGAAAGCGGTTGGGAGCCAGCAGTCCTCAATTGTGAGAGAGATGTCCAACTGCCTGTTTAGGCCTGATCCCTAAACGGGCAGTTGGACATCCCTCAAGGGTTCCCAGATTGGAGAAGGTGCTGGCTGGGCTGAGGGACACACACACCCCCATGCACAAATTTCATGCACTGGGCCTCTAGTTAATATATAAATTATGCTAACAGATGTCCCAATATTTTTGTTTTATTCACTGCCATTTTGCCAGCAAAATGCTAAGTATATGGTAGACTTTCAATAAAATACTCAACAATATAATTAACTGTTGTACTCAATGTTAGCAGTATTTTACTTAATATATTTAACAATGATGCAAAGATGGCGGCGCCCACAGCCAATAAGGAGGGAACATGCTAATTGACTGCCCCGCCTTCAAAGATGGCAACGCCCCACAGCAGCACCCAGTTTCTTCAGCCCCAAAGCCACCTAGGGCTGGCCCATGGCCCAGGCAAGCCTCGGATGGGTCACCCATGGCTGCCAGAGGCTCAGGTAATCAAGGCCAACCAAGGCTTGTGCTGCTGGCAGTGGCAGCAGCAGAGGTTTGATGGGGCATCACCTTCCCCTGATTGCTGAGTTGCCTCCTGCCTCTGAGGGTTCCCAGACTGTGAGAGGGGGAAGGCCAGGCTGAGGTACCCCCCTCCAATGCAAGAATTTTCATGCACCAGGCCTCTAGTATTTTAATAATTCTTTTAATTTCTTTTGTGTTAATGATAATTTTTGCTTTTAATGTTTACATTGGGATATTTCAAATGGATTTTAGATTGTCTGGACAGACATTACATCTGCTAAACTAAATTTGTACCAACAGCCGAAACTGGTTTGGCTCGGTGGATAGAGCGTCGGCTTGGGGACTAAAGGGTCCCGGGTTCAATTCCTGTCAAGGGCATGTACCTTGGTTGCGGGCACATCCCCAGTGGGGGCTGTGCAAGAGGCAGCTGATCAATGATTCTCTCTCACCGATATTTCTAACTATCTCTCTTCCTCTCTGTACAAAATCAATAAAAAATATATTAAAAAATAAAATAAAATAAAAATAAATTTGTACCAACAGATATGCAGGGTTGTTTAGCAAATATTGTTAGGGATGATATAAACATGAAAAGAACTTTAAGTTAAGGATTTTTTTTTTAAACTAAAAAGAGAGAGAAAAGGCATTTCAGTAACAGCAGGCCTTATTCAATACACTCATTTCCCACTCTGATATATGGAGAAACACATTATGCCCTGTAAATATTCTCCTCAGTGCAGTTCACATTGAGTGATTCGTGTTAAATAGATTAAGGGCTTGCAAACAGTCTCAAATTTCAATAGATCATGCTGAATCACAGCAGTGGCATGGAGAATACATTACTGGGTAATCTCTTGGAAAAGTATACAATCAAAATGACCGATAATATCCACCAAAAGAAAAAATGCCTTCATTTCACTTTTGCTATCCTATGGGGGAGAGAGGGAATCAGAAAATTCTTACAAAGTAGGCATGTAGGGCAGTTTTTCAATCTTGCCACTTTGAGTATTCTCTTTCTGTGGGGAACGGTATAGAACATTTGTATATAAATAATTGCTGCCTGAGATGAAAAAATAATTTAAAAGGGTGAGAAAATTGTTCAAAGCAGTAGTCCACCCCCTAACAGCTGTAAATTACTCATCAGCCTTAATGTCACTGAACTGAGCTGGAGCTGAGTCAGCCAGCAGCCTGGCTGCAGTGAGGCAGAATTCAATCTCCCTTATCTTTTCATTACAGGGCTTTTACTTTATGCATCAGCACCAGAAGGAAGACCAATGCATTGTAGCACGAATTTTATCCAACTTAATTCTGGAATAATTTGGTTCCAAGTGAACCAATTACTCTTAGTAAAAACAAGCAAAGGAATTACTTCCTTGCCAATTTTCTGTCAAAATTATCTAGAGAGATAAAGGAAGAACAGGAATGTTTACTGTTATATCTGCCTCAGATTCTCTGGAACCTAGCTAATCTGACTCATTAATATATGCTTTGCTCCTTATGCACCACGTTGAAAGGCAAATGCTTGAGATAGAACAAACAGAATGAAATATTTAAATTCCTTAACAACTTGGAGTAGTAATTCCATAATTTTTATAAAAATTGGTATTTCTTTAGAGCTTATCTAATATGTATAAATCTAATACCTTCTTGAATAAATAAATAAATAAATAAATAAAACCTCATAATTTGCCTGGATAAAAGTAGTAAAATGATCCATGTAATTTTTTTTTATCATTTTACTACTTTTATGCAAAATTAAATTAAATTTTGCATAGCTGTCAGAAAGAGCTCTATTTATATAAAATGAAACATAATGAGTACTGCTACAACTGATTCTTGAATTTTTATATCTGACTTTTTTACTTGGATTCTTAAAGGTAAGCTAAAATTTTTAAATAGGTTTTACTCAAACTCTCCTCCCCTTCACTCATCTTTTCTATTGTCTTCATATTTCTCACTTTACTTTTTCCATTTGTCTAGGTATTAGTAATAATATTCTGTTATGATAATCTCATTCCAATTACTTTCACATATTTTCAAATATATCTGTATGTTCCCTTTTTTCCTCCTTTTATTAATTAGTTTGAAAAAAAGAATTTTTTTGCTATTTTTTTCTCTTGCTACCACTATACAATTAAATCAGTGGGTAAACATAATTAAAGTTAGTATTTGGCAGACATTTTCTATAGATCACTACACATGAGAATATTTTAATATTTTCAAACAAATAATGTAGAATGGTACTCACCCACAGACCCTTCCGTGCCATCCGTTTCCTTTGGGATATAATGTGCAGAAAGATCACTCTGAAGGACTTCATCTGCTGTGGCTCTGGCTAAAGCGGCAGCCAAAAAGGAAGGGCAATTACTGAAAGAGAAAAATAAAAGGCTATTTCACTAAGAATTAGGAAACAATAAATTCAGCATTATTAAAACAAAATTATATCATTAAACAATACCCAACACATTTATTGAGTGCAAATTATGTACTAGGCATTCTGCTTAGGCACTGAGTGTATAGATTAGTGAATAACACAGAAATAGCCCCTGACCTAGTGGGACATAAAATCTAGTTATAGAGATGTGATAAGTAAATAGATCTATACTATTAATAGAAGAATATGCAAATTGTTCAGGATGCGGTCATAGTAACAGTAACAACCGAACAGCAGGCTGGCAGGCTGCATGGGGGGGCAATGCCAGCAAGGGTTAGTGAGGGGTGACCAAATGACTGAGTAGCAGGCTGCGTGAGGCAACCAGGCCGGGGGGGAGGGGGGAGTAAAGGGGGGCAGTTGGAGGCAACCAGGCCGGCAGGCAGGTGAGCAATTAGGACCAGCAGTCCCAGATTATGAGAAGGATGTCCGACTGCCAGTTTAGGCCCAATATAGTCGGACATCCCTCTAGAGCAGTGGTTCTCAACCTTTTTAATGCCGTGACCCTTTAATACAGTTCCTCATGTTGTGGTGACCCCCAGCAATAAAATTATTTTCATTGCTACTTCTATAACTAATTTTGCTATGGTTAATGAATCATAATGTATATATCTGTGTTTTCCGATGGTCTTAGGTGACCCTGCTAGCGCTTCTCAACCTGTGGGTCGTGACTGTAGCAAAATCAGTTACGAAGTAGCAATGAAAATAATTGTATGGTTGGGGGTCACCACAACATGAGGAACTGTATTAAAGGGTTGCGCCATTAAAAAGGCTGAGAACCACTGCTCTAGAGGTCCCGGATTGAAGGGGGTGCAGGCTGGACTGAGGAGGGATCCCCACCCCTGCACGAATTTCGTGCACTGGGCTTCTAGTAGGATATTATTTAAAACTGGGACAAGTTTGACAAAGAAAATAAATGGGGTACAGTGAAAGAAAATAAAAGAGGGGTAACTCCTTAGAATGATTAGGAATGCTGCACCCTGAAGGATGAGAAAGCCTCAGTTGTTGTAGGGATGAGAATTTTGGAGAGAATATTCCAGGCATAGAAAATAACATGTGTACAAACCCTTTCTGAGACTTTGGTATGTTTGAGGAACTGAAAGAAGCCCAAAGAAGATGAAGTACAGTGTGTAAGAAGAAAAATGACAGGGAATATAGTCAGAGGAACAGGCATCTTTTAGATCTTGGTATGAAATTTGGATTTTACCCAAAATGTGCAAAGTCACTGATTATTGTGAGCAAGAGAATTAAAATATTACTTTAAATATTATTAAATAATAATTAAAATATTGCTTTGCTGTGTCAAATGAAATTGGAAGCGAGCAAAAATGAGTAATAGTAACTAATAAGGAAATAGTTGGAATCCCAGGCCAACACTCTAACCACTGGCAACCGGCTAGGGTGAACCCGCAACCTTTTGGTGTATGGGACGACGCTCCAACCAAGTGAGCCAACTTAATAGGAGAAAGAAGTCTTTTAACAAATGGTGCTGAGACAATTGTATATCTATACAAAATAATCACGTTAAGACTCTCTCCTTACATCATATACACAATTTTAGTCAAAATGGATCATAGACCTACACGTAAGAGCTAACACAATAAAAATCTTAAAAGAAAACATAGCAGTAAAACCTCATAACCTTGAATGAGGCAATGGTTTTCCTAAATATGAAACAAAACACGAGCAACGAAATAAAAAAGTTAAATAGGACTGCGAATCAAGAACATGGAAAGACACCCAGCCGGGTGTGGCTCAGCGGTAGAGCATGGACCTCTGAACCATGGGGTCACGGTTCAATTCCCTGTCGGGGCACATGCCCAGCTTGTGGGCTGGATCCCTAATTGGGGGCCTGCAGAAGGCAGATGATCGGTGATTCTCATCATTATTGGTTCTATCTCTCCCTCTCCCTTTCTCTTTGAAATCAATAAAAAATATTCCTAAAAAAAAAGAAAGTGAAAGGACAACTCACAGAATGGTAGGAAATATTTACAAATCATAACTGATAAGGGACTTGTATTTAGAACATATAAAAAACTATTTTTTCAATAATGAAAAGACACCCCAATTTAAAAATGGACAAAGAATATGAATATTTTTCTTAAAAAGATCTATAAATAGAAGAAAACCATAAGATACCCAAAATCATTAGTCATTAGGAAAATGCTAATCAAACCCACCACTTCACACTGAGTAGGATGACTATTAAAAAACAAACAAAAAAAAAAAAAAAACAAAGGCAACAAGTGCTGACCACATAGAAAAATTCAAACTCTCATATATTTCTGGTGGGAATGTAAAACGGTGCAACAGCTTTGGCAGTTCCTTAAAATGTTAAATATACAATGCAACTATATGGCTCAGCAATTCCACTCGTAGGTATATATTCAAGAGAAATGAAAACATACTTCTACTCAAGAACCCAGACATGAATGTTCATAGCAGCATTGTTCATAATAGCAAAAAAGTAAAAACAACCAAATGTCCACCAACTGATTATGGATATTCATGCAATGGAATTTTTATTCAGCTATAAAAGAAATGAAGTATTGCTACATGCTACAATGTATATGAACCTTAAAAACATGGTGACAGAAATTAGTCACAAAAGATCACATATTGGATGATTCCATTTCTGTGAAAAGTCCAGAATAGGCAATCTATTACAACAGAAAGTAGAGGAAAGCCTAGGGTTGGGAGGCAGAACAAACAGGGAGGAGCTGCTGGTAGGGGGTTTCTTTTTGGGGGGATAAAAATGTCATACATCTTAGACTGTAGTGATGGTTAATTCTGAATACACTAGTAACACCACTGAATTGTACAATTTACGAGTGCAGTTTTTAAAGTAGGTAAATTATATCTTTAAAAAATATGTTTAAAAAAGTCATTGGCTTTGTCAAGAACCACTGAATAGAGGCAGTATCTGAAAGGGGGTACGAAGACAGGGAAAGTTTGTAGTTTTAGAATGGTGCAGAATCTGACTGCATACTAAATGAAGTGATCTAGTAGAGAAAGATTGATAGATAATGCAAAAGAGAGGGAAGGTACAAAGTTTTTGGAAGGCAAGGAGGGATGACATCCGGTTCATATATGGAAATATTGATCTTTGATAGGATGAGGCACATTTCCTTAATTGAAAAAGGAAGAAAATAGGGACGGAGTCAAGAACGTTTCCAATTTCTTGGAAACTAAGGGAGTTCACATCAAATGGTTTGATTCAACAATAGCTATTGAGGCTTACAATGTTCCAGGCCCTGTTCTACTCCACAGGATATACAGATACCAAAAAAATACCCCCCAAAAAAAATTTTTTTGGATTTGCCTTTGGAGCTTACATTCTAGAGAATGGCTTCTCAATGAAGTATAAGGCTAGACCAGTAGTTCTCAAACTTTGGTTGCATCAGAATCACCTGCAGGCTTGTTAAAACACAGATTGCTGGGCCCTAACCCTAGTGTTTCTGACTAAGTAGCCCTGGAGTAGAGGCTGAGAATTCTCATTTCTAACAAGTTCCCATATGATGTTCATGGTGCTGGTCTGGGGATCACACTGAGAACCATTGGGTGATATCAACTGGGTGGTGAGGGTAGAAAGCATATGGGGCAGAAGGGATGAAGAGAAAATAAATATGAAGCAGTCATATCAGAGAGTAGTAGGACTGTCAAACAGTACCAAGAGATTATTGGAAGTTTGAGACAATGTTTTGTTTTGTTTTATTTCTAATATATTTTATTGATTTTTTACAGAGAGGAGGATAGAGGGATAGAGAGTTAGAAACATCGATGAGAGAGGATCATCGATCAGCTGCCTCTTGCACACCCCCCACTGGGGATGTGCCCACAACCAAGGCACATGCCCTTGACCAGAATCGAACCTGGGACCTTTCAGTCTGCAGGCCGATGCTCTATCCATTGAGCCAAACCGGTTTTGGCGAGACAATGTTTTAATGAAACCAGTCTTGCTGGTTCTATGTTCATGTGCTGGAACATGTGTAGATAAAAAATAAAAAAAATGTTTGGTTCATTAAGATTTGAGGTTTTGCAAAGTGATTCTATAAAAGTAAAGAAGAGACATGGAAACTGGTTATCTTTTTAAGGATATGATTACAATGCTCAACCATGTGCTATTGGCTAAGAAAGAACAGGCATGAGTTGCAAATCAATGTGGTATAAATGTAATTTAAAAACTGTAGTGGGAGTATTTGAGTACATAACCTAGGACAGAATGTTATAGTCTGAGAACAGAATGCTCTATATGAGTTTGGAGCTGGTGTAATTTTTGTGATGTTTTATGTGAGACCAAGAAAATTAGTGGTTTAGAAGCAGATAAAGTGACAATGTTTAAGTTTTAAGTCCCTAAGGGGGAAGGGGACTAGAAATTCTCTTTATTTTTCATCAGTATTTCTCAAATTATGTTATAATCCATTAGTGGATAATAAAATCCATTTATGAATTGTGACCAGTATTAAAAAAAAAAATAGAACAGGGTATTTGAAGTAAGGCTAAGTATTCTAGGTGTGTGTGTGTATTGAACCCTGATTTTTACGGAAAAAATTAAAAACAAAAAACAAAAAAAAACTCCGTAATAGGCAGTTGCTGCCCTTCATAATTATGAAATAAATTAATAAATTGGTGTCATCTTTTGAAGTCCAAATGCTTTATAAACAGCATTACCATTTCTCCTTTCATGCTAGGTTAATTGAATTCTTCCTTATGAGACAAAATTTTCCTTCATACACCTTAACTGTCTTCAGCATTGCTTGTTTTTACCTTTCAAGCATGCTTTACTTGGAGTAACTGGACATATCCAAATATTTTGCCTAAGGCGACTTTATACTTACAGTATTAATATTTATTTGGTCCTTCTGTTTGTTTTAAAATTTATATTTAAAATCATCTTTAGCCGAAACCGGTTTGGCTCAGTGGTACAGCGTCGGTC